ACTGCTCATCTGGAGGGATTAAATGTCTTGTCTCTGTCTTAAAAAAATCTTCAGATCTTTTTGGTAGCCCTGTGATAGACTGGTTACCTGTCCAGGTGAACCTGCCTTCACCCTTGAGTCAGCTGGGATAGGCTCCGCCCCCCATGACCCTGGTGAGGATGAAGGTGTAGAGATGATGGATGGATGTTTAACAGAGCTCTGCTGTGGCATCGTCTTACCTAATCTTGTTCACGTTTACTTTTTCTGCTGGTTACTTTCTGTGGATCGTACATAAAACACTGTGGCTAAAACAAGAGCAGTTAAACTGAAGCCTGTGTGAGCTGTGAGTAAATGTCAGGCGTTGGATTAAAGGTGCAAATTATTCCTTTGACATCTAGTCTAGGGATCGTTTCTGTTGCTGTCACTCACTCTGCAGCAGAGCGTGAGGTTCGCGTAGTTACTGAGTCTGGGCTGTCCTCTCTTTGATAACCAGGATAAGGAGGATGACGTCAAGGTAGGAGTCAAATCCACTGCACTGATGTTCCAGGAGCAAACCAAGCCGTGGCTGAGCGGCTTCGCAGTGGCCATGATGTCAGGACTGGTTGTAGCAGGAGTCAGTGCTGAGCAGACTCTCCCCTACTACGCTACGCTGAGCGCTGTGGGCGTTCACCTCGCCCACCAGGTGAGGAACATGTGGTCTGAATGCTCCCTGCTAACAGAACAGGTGATGCACATCTGTATGACAGGTTAATGTGCTAACCAGAATATTGACTCTCCTGTCCTGTAGATTTACACGTTGGACATCAACAAACCAGAAGACTGCTGGAAGAAGTTTGTCTCCAACAGAAACCTCGGACTGTTGTTGGGTTTAGGCATCGTGACCGGCAATTTGTGGAAATAATGAAGAGAGACTTTGCTGAAGTGAAGAAGCTGATCAGTGCACGGCGTGTTTTCTTACGCTGTGTGTGGTTTTTAACAGTGATCTCACACCTGACTTTGCTCATGAAGCAGCTCTGATTGACTTTAAATCACATAAAACTGCATTTTCAGATTTAATTATAAACTCTTGTAACATTAGTTTATAATTAAGGTTTGCACTTAAAGAGGAACTCAACTTGAATCAGAGCATCATGTGCTGTTGTTGGTAAACACACTCCAAACCTGCAGTGTGTCATTCCTGACCACCAGGGGGCGGTGTGAGCGTATTGCACACCTCTGGCTTTACTGCTCATCCTGCTCCTACTTTGATCATTAAAACATCTGGGTTTGCAGCTCAGCTGTCTTCACCAGTCATTAGTTTCCTCTGACTCTCTGTGTTTCCTGCAGGGCAGCGAGCAGCTGCAGCATCTCAGCGTTTCAGCTACAAGCCACTAGTTTTATATGAGAGGTCAGCAGGAGGCGCAGAAGTGAAACAAGATCATGTTTTGGGCTAAAACCTGCACAGATCTGCAGATTTCAGTGTTCTTTAGGATATGACAGGAGCTGCTGAAATATTCCCTCAATGACGGGCAGCTTCTCAATGGCCAGAAGTGCTGCCATCACCTTCCCAACTTTGTGATTAAACAGGAACCTGCAAACTCCAAACAGCAGGAAGCCTGTTATCCTGATCCCAGGTATGTAGACGTCTTCAACATCCTCCACGGGAGGAGGTATAGAGACGTCAGGGCAGGCGGGCTCTCCTTTGCCTGGTTTCCTCGTCGAGAAAATTTGATCAGTTGCTTTGAGAGACCAGCTGATCATATCCATGATTTCAGGTTTTGGAGAGAAATGCAGAGAGAGGCTCTGATAGCTTCAGACAGAGACAGCACCAGACAAAGAGCAGCAAGCCGGGCAGATAAAGGCCGGGAGGGAGCGAGAGAAAGCGTCCGCCTTTGTCAAGAGCAGGAAGAGAAAAAAAAAAAGTGACTGGTTCAGCGAATACCGTCGATTCTCTCGTTACAAACTGGAGAAACTTTGGGTCCAAGCATTCACGTGGATGTAGCTGGGACACCTACCACCAACCCAAACCTTTTTCTAGACCCAACAGACCCCCATTGGCAGGACGGCCATCTAAAACCTGCTTTGAAACAGCTGGAGGAGCTTGACCAAGAGCTCAGAGCGTTGACCTGCACTCCAAACTCCTCAGATCCCAATCCCAAGCCTGATCCACAGAGGTCCCACCCTGCAACCTACAGAACCCCTGACAGCGTCCCAGGACACCCCAGAGGTCCTGTGTCCACGTCCTGATGCTTCAGGGCTGCTTCTGTGGCACAAGAGGGGCTTACACAATACCAGGCAGGTAGTTTTAATGTATACAGTCTTTTCTAAAACTACTAATGTGAACACAGCTACAAAAACAGTTTTCTTTTGATTCCAAGTATTCACACGGCCGCCCTAGTCGTGTCTCTGGAGTTTTATTAAGATCAAGAGCAGAGTTATGTTAGCAAGTGGAAACAAACCTGCGTATGTTCCCCACAGAAGTCTCAAACCCGACATATTCCTGAATTCTACCGCTATGGCAATACAGGTCACGACCATCTGGGTGTTAATCCAGCCTAACACGCTGTATATTTTCCTCCCTGCTGGTGAAACCTCTGGACCCAGGTGCTTGTGTATGTGGTAGTCTGCCTTCACGGTGGCTGCCCAGGTCAAGAAGCCAACAAAGTGGCCTAGATGTAAGCCGTGCCACCACAGGGAAAAACCAAAGGACATGAAGAGCGGGAAGTGTTTGCACCTCGTGTAGACCAGCCTACGCAGCCATAAAGCCGTCGTGACGTTCCATCGACGGGCGAAATCTGACATTCGGTGTGACGCCTCGGTGGTCCAGAAATCCCCGTCAGAGAGTCCGCTCCATTCTGAGGAGCCTCCTGATGAAGGCTCCCAAAACCCGAACCCAGCTGCGTTATTGAGGCTTTCGCTGATCCTCCAGTGGGAGTAGTACTGGATCCTAAAAACCAGCCCAAGACCCCAAATCCACAGGACCCCACAGAGGACACCGGAGTCCATAGGATCATACGCATTATGTTTCAGGACGTAGATAAGACACCACCTCACCCCCTCCAGCAGTAACACCTGGACCAGCTTCAGGAGGACCACAGCCAGTGGACTGGGTGGAGCGCTGAGACCCAGTCCCTCCATCAGCAGCACGAATCGGCTGTAGGAGCACAGAGGACCCCCGAGCAGCGTGGTGAAGCTGAGGCTGTAGCTGATGAGGGGCAGGATCATCACACGGCTCTGCCTTCTGGTTATGGCGTTGCATGTGAGCAGGACTTGTGTCTCCTGGAGGTCCATGGACACCGAAGTGATCCTCTGAGTGAGGAGCATCAAAGAGGAGGCCGCCAAAAACAGCCTGGAAGTGCAGGAGTTGTTCATGTGATTAAATTAGAGTTCTTTTTTATCATTAAGGAATAAATACAGAATTTTTATCTGTATGAATTAAATGTTTTGTCCAAAGCACAGAGCACAATAAGATCCAAAGTGTAAATAAGGAGGTTTAAAGTTTGTCCTAAATGGTGGAAAGACAATCTCACATCAAGGTCCATTTAGTGGACTGGTTCTGGAGCTTTGATTTTATTTTAAGAAGTTCATATGAAGTAGTGAGAATGCCAAATAACAAAAATAAATCAATAAAAGAATGATAAAAATAAAAGTGGGAATGAAAAGACAAATAAACAAAATAATAATAATTTATTATTTTTTATATTTATTTAGTTAATTTATTTGTATGTATCTATTTTTTATTATATTTTTTAAAAATCTGTTTATTTTTTATTTTATTTTTAAATATTTTTTATTGTTTTAATTTATGTTTTTATAATGTAGCTTTAAAAGCAAAGGAAATATGTGCAGAAAAATGTGCGCAGTAGGAATGTCGTTTTTCTGCGCATATTTCCTTTGCTTTTAAAGCGTCTAAAATTAATAAATAAATAAAATGAAAATGCGAAAAAATAATTTTAAATAAATAGATAAATATACAAAAAATAATAAAAATAAAAAAATAAATAATTAAAAGAAAGAAAAAACAAACAAAAGATACATTATTATTATTTGTGTTATTTTTTTTTATTTGTCTTTATGTTTCTACTTTTATTATGCTTTTATGGATTCATTTTTGATTAATATTACCACATTATTTATTCTATTTATTCTTCTTTTTATTTCCACTTTTATTTTGTTATTCTTTTATTGATTTATTTTTGTAATTTGGCGCTCTCACTGCTCCATACGTTCATTTGAGAGCAAAGTCAATGTTCACCTCTATCTATTTAGATTATTTGCTAATGTAGCCCCTCCCTCCTCCATCCCATAATGTCCTGCTGACACTATGAGATGAAAACTACAGTCCCTGTGTCACAACGGAAAACAGTCAGCGAGTGTTTTCAACCCTCAAATATTTATTTTTGTTGTTTTAAAGAATAAATAACCACATTGTAAAACATGAATACAGTAATGGAGCTCCACTTCCAGCCTGGGTTTGGGCTTTTCCTGAGATTATCATCTACATACATGAAGTATTGAGTTATTGGGTTCAGCCTGAAGGTTTCAGCTCACATAATAGTAAAAACATTAGTACCTGATGCTGACAGGTTCATGCAGGTAGTATTCCTTGTATTGAATAAACAGGTGCCAGAAGGTTTGCCACAACATCTGGACACCAAACGCCCAGACGTGGACACAGCCGGGATCCACGGAGAGGACGAGCAGAACGAAGACGAAGGTGGAGGTGAAGAGGATCAGGCTGTAGATGCCCATCGTCATGACGGCCAGGACGCATCCTCCGACGGAAACGAACAGGTACCTGCAGACAGGAAGTCACGTTGACCACTAGAGCTGCAACGTTTAGTCAGTTATCCTGTTACGTGATTGGGTGAAAGTCTTTTAAAGCACAAATCTGTATTGTAGCTTCTCCAGTTTGAGGATTTGTCTCACTGTAAGCTGAATAAAGTGGATGTCCTCTGGGTGGGTAAAGCAAGAAGTCTGATCATGTCAAAAATGTTATTAACCAAACAATTAAGCAAGAAAATGATCTGCAAATGAATGATGGAATGATCGTCCAGTGATGCCTCAGTGTGGTCCTGACAGACGGAGGTTAGTCAGATCATCTACACGCTTCAGAACAACCAACATGTACCCATCGCTTTTATAACAATAAAATAGAAACACGTCGCCAGCAAACAATTATTAAATGAAAATAACTTTAAAAATCTAATTTCCTCTGTTGCTGTTCAGATATTCCAGTTCTGTTTCTGCTTTTTCCCAGTTGGATTATTTATTTGATACGAGGACATGTTTACTAATCAGATCAATATCAGATGATAGATTGAGCAAAATATGTTTCTGAGTTTATCCGTGGTTCAAACTAGTTGCTGCTGTTACACGGAAAAGTTCTACTGCTGCTGTTATATAGTTTAAAATAAAACAAATCATAATTAAGTAGTAATTGGACTCACCTGTATGTCAGGGACAGATATCTTCGTTTACTGAGAAAATAAAACAAGAAGGCAAATGGAAGTGAACAACACTGGTGCATCAGGAGCTGGTGCTGCTCCCACAGCCAGCCGATGGAGCCCATTTCAGGCTGAATATGACGGACGCTAACAGCAGAACTGTGGTGCTGATTGTCCCATTAACAGCAGCTACGATATTTGTTTTACTCCAACAACCGTCTTTGACATTCCTCCTGTGGCTAGCATCCTAATGATTCTGTTTGTTGTGTCGGGCGGTACTGATACGAGCATTTCTTTTCTCTGCCTTTATCAGTTCTGTGTCTCCGGGGAAGATACCTGTCAGTTCATATTTCTGCAGCTGCAGCAACCAGAAGAAGTAGTTTTTAAAAATAAATTTGTCTTTTTATTTCCACAAATCAAACAGACAGCAGCAGTCTGTTGTTCACACTTGTGACCATCATGTGTTTGGTTTGAATCTCTGCCCGACACTGTCGTCCTGCTTCTGACCTATTTCAGGTCAATTCAGAAGCTTTCTTGGCATGAATATCATCCATCATCATCTCTACACCTTAATCCTCACCAGGGTCATGGGGGGCGGAGCCTATCCCAGCTGACTCAGGGTGAAGGCAGGTTCACCTGGACAGGTAACCAGTCTATCACAGGGCTACACTTAGAGACAGACAACCAAGCACACTCACATTCACACCTACGGACAATTTACAATCACCAATTAACCTCAGCATGTTTCTGGACTGTGGGAGGAAGCCGGAGAACCCGGAGAGAACCCACGCTGCACGGGGAGAACATGGAGACTCCACGCAGGAAGATCCCGGGTGTCCTCACCGGGACGTGAACCTTCTAGCTGTGAGGCCACGGTGCTAACCACTGAACCACCTGCAGCCCGGCATGAATATCAGATTAGCAATGTTGCTAAAGCATCAGGGACGGTGTAAACAACAACAACAATGTGACACATCAATACAAACAAAGCAAGAGGTAGAAAGGTCGTCGATAAAAAGAGAGATAAGAGACCATCGCCTGGATCATTTGTACTCAAACAATGAGCAGCAGACTTTTAGAAATTGTTCTAAAATGAACATTTAACCAGTTAACTGATGTAATAATGATCTTTTAATCTGCTCATTAAAGCTTATATTACATTTCAGACACACCGGTTTGTCACTGCTGGCTTTATATCCATACAGTACCTTCTGTCTCTGAACAACAGATGGCCAGAAACTCCAGACTTGAGGTCATCAGCAGAACTCTAAGCTCCTGTGACACCTTGGACAGCGTGGAGGACGTCACAGATTAACAACAAAACCAGCCTCGCTTGCTTTTTGGCACCGATGGACCTGGTGTGGGAGCACGTTATCTTTTAATCAAATGATATGAAGGTTAGTTTATTGGGCTCAGACGAGCTCCAAGTCGTGGTCAGAGTTATCTGTTCGTCCTGACAGTGAAGCACGGAGGAGCTGAGTGATGATATGATGAAGACGTTTACAGGCGACACCATGACTGACGGGGTTTATTCCCAACATACTGGCTGATGAGACGACTCCGGCTGCAGCAGCTCGCTGTGTGGAGGAGGAAGATGTCAGCATGAGAATGAGCCAAACCGCCAAAACACACAAGAGTTTCCGAAGAAGGAGGTGTGACCCGGCCAGGTATGTGTCCGGACTTGAATCCAGTAGAGCACCTGTGGGGTGTTTTTTTATTTTAGTCTTTGTTTGTTTGTTTTTATCCTTTGTTGTAGGTGGAAGTGAAGAGAGAGAGACAGGAAGTATGGGGAGAAGTAAATGGTCATGGGCTGGACTCGAACCCTCGACCTCAGCCCCTGTTCACGGGTCGCCCACCCAACCTGATGAGCTGTCTGGGAAAAGAGGAAACCTTTTGTGACACAACTCTAATCCAGAATAAAAGTGGATGCACCAAGCATTTGTAGTGAAAGGTGAAAGCAGGACGAGTGGGAGCGGCTGATCTGAGGAGAGCGGATCAAGGCAACACAAAAACCAAACTGAATGAATGAGTGAGTGATGAATGGCTGAGTCACGCTGGAAGCAGCTACAATCCCATAACTGCCAACTACAAATTAGCAGCTGAATGGCCGACAGTGAGAACAAACGCAGTGAGTCCACCGGCTCTGGTTCAGTGATGCCAGTAAAAAGCAGCTTCTCTGATTGGTGACTGTACTGTTTGCTATGACAGTAACGAGTATGATGAGACATCCCTGGCTCTCTGACAAACAGGTCGGGTCAGAACACGAGCTCATCTCCTTTTATTCAGGGCCCATATTCAGCTTTGGGCCTGTGAGTAGCTCAGATATTTTAAACCACCAACACCGTCCCGTGAGTTTCACCACGACCGCGGCTTTAAACTGACCACATGTTTAGACTCTTATACAACAGCGTCGCCCATAAAAAAGTGAGTAACGTCCTTAACTCCAGGCTTGTGATTGAACCATCCTATTATACCAGATTTTCCGCCGAGCATGCCAGATGTTCAATAAGATTTATGTCTCAGCGGCGGTTTGTTTTCTCAGACTCTCACACACCTTCAGTGGTGAGAGAAATATTCTTTATTTAGTAAAACACAGCGATGCAAAATGTGCTGATGATGATTAGAAAACATGCGAGACTATAAAGTTCTCTTGTTGTACTGCTGTTTTAACAACTGAGTACACAACTAGCTTGTTTTTATATTTTAAAGGTATATTATCTGAAATATTAACCTAAAAAGTCAGATACATCTAGAATAGAATATTTGTTTTATATGTAGTGCAGTGAATGTATGAAGCAGCAGAGAATGGGCACGAGAAAGTTAATCAATAAGTTAAATCAGTGTCAGTCTGTTTTTTAACTTTCCTCTCTACCCAGTGTTTATGTCCTTATCTCACTCCTACACGTTTAAATGCGTCATCTCATGCATTTGGATAAACTGCTGCCAGAAGACTAGTTCCTACTCGCTGGATGCCACGACGCTCAGTCACCGTGTCGGTGGCGTTTAACCGTTTTTGAACTCACTGACTTTCAGGAAATATATTGTCAAAGTAAATTATGCACAACTGGGTCTTTATTTCCATCGTCAATTAACCTGCTAATGACATTTTTAAATGAATAACCAGCCGTGTGGTTTATACACGGTCAGAAAATGTTTCCTAAAGCCCAAGATGACGTCTTGTTCTGTCCTCAACCCAAACACGTCCAGTTTATTGTCAGAGAGGAGTAAAGAAATTAGAAAACATTCAAGTCTAAGAAACTGGAATCAGAGAATTTTGACTTTCAAAGTCTACAAAACGTTCTTTGTTGGTAGACCTGCTACTGCTGCTGTTTGTCCAGAGGTTTGGAGGTCAGTTAAAAAGCAAACAACGTCTACAGACTATCTCCACCCAGAGCTTTGATGTCTTTAGTATTAACTAACTGCTGAGCATCTACATGCAGAACCAAACTGCTGCTGTATTCACATCCCGGCCGCTCCCTGCCTTTGATAACGTGGATAAATGTTGAACCTCCCACTGTTCGTGTTCAGCACTGTAGCCTCACAGCTACAAGATCCCGACTTCCTCCCACAGTCCAGAAACATGCTGAGGTTAATTGGTGATTGTAAATTGTCCGTAGGTGTGAATGTGAGTGTGCTTGGTTGTCTGTCTCTAAGTGTAGCCCTGTGATAGACTGGTTACCTGTCCAGGTGAACCTGCCTTCATCCTGAGTCAGCTGGGATAGGCTCCGCCCCCCATGACCCTGGTGAGGATTAAGGTGTAGAGATGATGGATGGATGTAGTGCAGCCACAGTGCCTGAGCATAACTTTATAAACAGTAACGCTCCCATTAATTGTAAGGAAAGAAAAATATGAATCCAGCTTCGACCTGGTTTCTTAAGCAACCTGGAGATCTTTAAATTATAAATGCTGCTTCTCAGGTTCCACTGAAGTGTCTCAGATATTAAACATTCAGTGTTTTTCTACTCCTGGAAAACAGGACGCACCTAATCCAACAAAAGCCAATGGATCCTCATGTGCTCCATGTAAACACAAGAAATCCTAGAACAACAATAAATACAGGACGCAGGTAAATGTTGTGTTCCTGTTCCTCTACATTTATCCAACATCTTTAGTTCCTTTTATGATTTCTAAGCTGTTTTTCCACGTCTGACGTCCGACACACAGCAGCGCGCCTTCAGGCTTCTGAGTTAACAGTTTACCAAATAGTGATTTTTAACTCTAAGTTTCCAACATTATCTAATTTTAGTAAATGTTTAAATCTCATCAGAAGTCAAGGATGAAAAAAACAAACAGATTTCTATATCAGAACTTTAGTCTCTATGAATCCTGTGGTGAGCTGTGTCTGGATGTAAAGCTGTAGAGAAACCGTTTAAACCTGCAGCAGCTACAGCAGGACCGTGCTGCTGACACGCTGATGCTAATTTAACGATGCTATACATAACGATATACCAGCTGATCGGAACAGGCCTCTGCTTTTACTCGAATACTTTACTTATAACGGAGTATTTCTGCTGCACTGAGCACGTCTACTGGTCTGAACAGTTCCTCCACCAGCAGGTCTGACTGATTGAATCCCCGTGTGTTCGTTTTAAATGCATCATGCACAGATAGCTGCTTTTGATTACATCACCTGAGATCCATTGGAGGTAATAAAAGCTAAGTGTAAGCAGGGCAACATGTTTGTGGGCTGCATTTATAGATAAAGAGGTCACATACGAGCAGGTACTGGTCCAGCTGTTGGGACTTTCTGACTTACAGCCTGTAGCTGGTTACAAGCAGCAGTGGCTCCAGGTGCTTTCTGATCATTTTTCTACACATATACGAAGCAGCAGACGTCAGATGTTATAGCTCTGAAACATCAGAGAAATGAAGGCTGGAAATGACCGATGGAAACAGGTTTCATGACTCAGCAGTAAGCATCCTGCGTACTGCGACTCAGCAGCGTCAGGGTGTGTTCTCATTAGACAGAATGTTGTTCTGTTTGTGACATGGGAACAAACAAACACTGGGTTGTGCTGCTTTATCAAGTCGATCAAGTCTGGATGCCAAACTCTCCTGCCCTGTTTTAGCATCCCGCTCTGACACGTGATCTCTGAGCACGTCTTGACTTCGGCTGAAGCATCTGTGGAGTGATAACAGACAGCAGGCACAGGAGAGCGCTTCCTCCTTTGATAAGTTAGACATCCGGAGAGTCAGAGCAGCAGCTTTGGTGACTGACTCTGTTTAGACACAAACACAAAGTGATAAAACATGGCACAATGAAATGGTCAGACCCAGGAGGTCAGATCATGACTCACCAGCAGCATGTCTTCTGTGCAGGATGAGGCTCTAAGATGTGTTTTCATTGAACATGTTTGTGTTTAGAGGCTGCAGGTGGTTCAGTGGTTAGCACCGTTAGCGCCTCACAGCTAGAAGGTCGCCGGTTGGCGTCCCGGTGAGGACACCCGGGATCTTCCTGCGTGGAGTCTCCATGTTCTCCCCGTGCAGCGTGGGTTCTCTCCGGGTTCTCCGGCTTCCTCCCACAGTCCAGAAACATGCTGAGGTTAATTGGTGATTGTAAATTGTCCGTAGGTGTGAATGTGAGTGTGCTTGGTTGTCTGTCTCTAAGTGTAGCCCTGTGATAGACTGGTTACCTGTCCAGGTGAACCTGCCTTCACCCTGAGTCAGCTGGGATAGGCTCCGCCCCCCATGACCCTGTTGAGGATGAAGGTGTAGAGATGATGGATGGATATTAGTGTTTGGTCTCTATAATGTTATGAAATGCGCTATCATCAGCCTGCTCTGCTGATCACTGGGTAAACACCTCAGACACTTTCCTCTTTTGCAGACCTTCATATGTTTACATGTCGGCAGTCACAGCTGCTGCTTTGGGGACTTTTCTGATCACTTCCACACACAAATATGAAGCAATAACCCCAAACATACAACATGTCATCTTTAAGAATGGAGGTAAATGGTGGAAATAACAGATGAGAACATGTTTCATGATTCTGCGTGACGAGTGTGTTTTCATTTGATATCTGAGTGTTTTGAATTTGAAATGATAAAAAACTCTTTATTATTATTAAAAGTTGGATAGATACCCATGAAGTCTGGATGCCACAACGTTCTGTCCTGTTCCTCAGACACCATTAACTCTCAGACATGATCTCTGACTCTGACTTTGCTCTGTGAGGACTCAGTGTTCAGGCTGGACTTTGAAACTGGCTGCTGAAATGTCCCCAGTTTTCTAAAAAGGTGCATATGTAGACTTTAATATGTGGACATGACAAGTTTTAGACGGATGAAGTTGCAGCAGTAGTTTTATCTTTTATACACATACGAAGCCATAAACAATAGATAATGTGGCACCTTTACATTTTGAAATAAAGGGAGGAAATTACAGATTGAAACAGGTTTCATGATTCACCAACATATGTTCTGTGAGCGACGACAACTTCAGCGTCTGTTTTTATCGGATATCTCAGTGTTTTCTAAGATTGATAATGAAGGCCCTCCTGGTACGTTATAGAAAACTGGACAGATATCTATCCAGTCTGGATGCTGTTTAACCCTCCTGCCCTCAGACAGGATCTCTGAGCTCAGCATGACTTTGCTCTGTCAGGACTCTGTGTTCAGGCTGGACTTTGAAGCTGAAGCGTCTCTGGAGTGAATCCGTCGTCGTCCCTCCTCCTGGTTCAGTGGACGGCCGGCGCATGAGACGGTTTCTTCTCTTCAAAACTTTGATGTGTGTTCATGATAAGTGTTGCATGCAGGAGGCTGCAGCAGCTGCTCTGGGGATTGTTTCTTCCCTTTATAGATGCATATGAAGCAATAAATCAGAATTTATAGCACTGCGCTGTTACAAACCGAGATAAAGGCTGGAATGATCAGACTCATCATGACTAGCTGTGCAGGAGTGTTTTCATTCATTAGATCAGTGTTTTGGTGCAAGAATGATCATATAAAGGCCCTTCTGGCAGCCTGCTTTATGGATAAGTGGACAGATACCCATCTGGTCTGGATGCCACCATGTCTGGTCCCATTTCTCAGACCCAGGAACTCTGAGCTCAGCGGGACTTTGCTCTGTCAGGACTCTGTGATCAGGCTGGACTTTGAAGCTGAAGCGTCTCTGGAGTGAATCCCTTGTTGTTCCTCCTCCTGGTCAATGGACGGAGGGCACGTGAGAAAGTTTAGCAGCTGTTTTACCGGGGCTCGTCGCTGCGTCACGCAGCATCTCGCCGCTGATTGGTCCGCTCTTGTGCAACTGTGCCGTTGTATAAACTCTGCAGTTTGAAGGAGTTGGCAGTGAGTCCTGCACGGATCGCGTCAGCCTCAGTGGGGGGAACTCTGCTGAGTGTGAAGGCAGGGAATTGGGGAAAAAAAAAGAAAGAGAAGAAGAAGAAGCTTCAGCAGTTTCTGCGGGAAACTCGTGTTGAGAAGTGATTCAGAGATGCAGAGCTGCGCCAGGTCCTGGGGGATCTTCTTGGCCAAGTCGGTGAATCCCGGCGCACCGTGCAGGCATCTGAGCGAGCAGAGCCGCGTGGTTTGGAAACTTCAGCGCAGGAACCGAAACATCTGCGCGTCCCTGACAACAGCAGCAGCAGCAGCAGCGGTCCGGGGGCTGAGGACGTCCGCGGCCCTGAGCTCCCGGCAGATAGAGAGGATACTGCCCAGACACGATGACTTCGCGGAGAGACACATCGGTCCAGGTGAGAGGGAGAAGAGGGAAATGCTGGATCTTCTGGGAATCGAGGTGAGTTTTTACTAAACAAACACAAAACACACGCGTTCGTTTCATATTGAGCCTGATGCCAGCGTTAAACAGCCGCTCTGTGCCGCGCGCCTTTCTCTAATCAACGCTTTTGTTTTCACAGTCAATCGACCAGTTGATCGAAAACACAGTTCCATCCTCCATCCGCATGCAGAGGAGCATGAAAATGGATGATCCAGTCTGTAAGTTTGCCTTTATTTGATATGTATGAGCGGATTAACACCGTCTCCGCGCTGCGCTCACATCCGCACGCCTCCGCGACAACAGCGCGTAAAAATGATAAAAATCTCTATAAAACCATCTGCAGCTATTCTGCACCATGAAGGGGCTTTTTTCTTTCCTCCCCACCACATCCAGCGGGCGTCAAATGGAGCCAAGTGAGTGGCCGGAATGTAGGTTGCACCTCTATTGTGCGCTCTCCTCCGTTAAGTCTTCCTTTGAACATATTTGGAGTTGTTTTTGCGAAACTCGGCGAGCGGCACCAATCTCCTGATGGGAAGCCGATGCTCATAGGATGGCAACTGGAGTGTAAAGTTTAGCCTTGAGCTCCGGTCCCAAGTCCAGTTCAATCTGGTTACAGCGTTCACATTACATCACAGCCGAGGGGGTTCCTAATAAGGGGACTCAGAGCCGATGTTTGGCGTTACATTGGCCTCCATGTGTTTGTCTCTCTGCCTCCCTGCGCGTCTCCGTTCCAGCTCCAAACACTTGTTTTGGCTTATTTCTAAGACACAAAGATACGATCTAGATACAGATGATTACGGCGCTCATGCACACAATGGGAGAGGTTAATCCCGTTTACAAAGGGGATGGCTTCAAGCTGCCTCTGTGGCACTTCTCAGCTGAATACATGTTGGCTGACAGAGAATGTGGATTTTCACATGCAAATGTATGTCTGCTTGTTTTGTTTGTTGAATTTGCATTTGCTGTCACTGCTCTGAGTGCAGATGTGCAGAAATGAGGAGAAGGAGCTGAAGCTGGGGAGCATGTTGGAGATGAGTGCCTCTGTGATGGCAGCACAGATCCTCAAATTACAAATAACACCATTAATTAAATGGAAAACAAACTCTCTCATTAGTTTTTATGTTGTTTTTTAATCAAACCTGGCTGGAATCAGATATAATTGGTGCTTCAGCTAATTATTGTTTTCATTATTAGTCACACAACTGAATATTTAAACAGAAACCTCCACACATGAAGCCTGATGTGTGACTAAAGCATCAGGTGGGGATAATAAGTGGTTGTTTGTCTGATGAACAGATTCTGATCAATGCTGGATGTTTGAGGCTGATGCTGATTTTAGAGACTAAGAAATGTGACCAATGATGCACCTTTTCACATGTACGTATACGTCTGCTCGGCTCATTTTGGTTGAATTTCTGTCACTGTTTTGCAAAGAAGAGGCTCAAGATGGGAAGTGTTTTCATAATCAGCACCTCCTTAATAACAAAACTACACGTCCTAAAATTTGGATTACTAATTAAATGGAAAACAAACTCTTCAGTAAGTTCATTCATTTTGAATCAAACCTTGCTGGAATCAAATACAAACTACCCGTTGTTTTCATTGTCGGTCACTCTGAGTATGAATATTTATGAAGCGGGACCAGAAACATCCATAAGTGATGCACAGAGCCTGTGATCAGTCCCTAAAGCCTCATGGGGGGATTACATAGAGCTGCTAAAAGTCCCACCAGCTCTGAATTCTGAAGGATGATCCTGACTTTAAAGAGTAAGACATTCTAATACTGACATATCGGCTAATCATGTGCATTATCTCGTGCACATATGTGTCTTAGTTCACTTATTGAATTGCATTTGCATAATAACAGTTTCTTTGGTGAGATCAGATCCTGATATTGTGAATGAGAGGATTTAAAACCATCATTATATTTTTGATTATGTGGAAAACAAACTCTGTAATAAGTTTATTTGGTTGAAATCAAATGTAATTAGCGCCTCAGCTAAGCATTATTTTCCATATCATTCGCTCTGAATATAAATATGTGATCAGTTATTTACTGAGGAAGCTTATAAACGTCCATAAGTTCTGCACAGCGGCTGTTATGAGTTCCTACAGCTTCAGGATTACAGATGGAGTGTCGGTCCAACTAGAGCCAGAACCAGACGGGATTTCTTTCGGGGCTTTTAGAGAGTAAGAAATTCTGATATTGATGCATAGGCCAGTATTGATTATATATAGGTCAGATTTATACTGGAGAGTGAACATGATGAGGTCGTAGTGTAACTTTGCAGCTGTGTGCTTCACAAACCCGTCAGCAGCTCACCATGAAGACACCGTTTGGCTCCAGACTCTGCTGCATGTGCTGCAGACAGTGAACAACAGGGTCTGAGCTGCTCTGCCTGACTGACTATAGGATGAGGCTGTTTCTAAATCAGCTCAAGCATCTTTTTCTGTGTTGAGGTCTGTTTAAGAAAGTTTTCAGCTCAGACAACATGGACGCTGAAGCCAGTGTCGATGATATCGGATCATGTTCAGCTCACTGAGACGTAAGAGAAAGAAAAGCAGCAGTTTGCTCAAACAAAGACTTAAAATAGTCTCTTTTTTTTGCATTTTTGCATTTTTGCAAGACAAGTAATGTGAAGGATTAATCATTGGTGAAAACAGCTGCAGTGTTTTTTATCTTCCACTTCTGAATGTTCCAGATTTAATCTCTTCCTGATACGACACCACTGACACATGATTAATTGTGACTCTGGATTATCTCCCAAAGTGCAGGTTTTCTGCCGTGTTCTGTGTAAAGTCTGGTGCGTCGTGACACCTTGTGATTGTGCTCGTTAATAAATGCTGACGGGGAGTTTTGCAGACTCCTGACTGGCTCCGTTATCAGATTGCTGCTCATTAGTTCTAACCACAGGGAGATACGACAGAAAATCCAACCTTAAGAAGAAAAAAGATAAGAGCCATTAATCCCCAAAGTCCTGTGGCTTTTCTGTACACCTCGTCTTTGTGGTCTGGCCCGGTGTCGGCCCTCCTCTGACTCTGTCAGGTTTCATAATGCGACAAGCCATGCTGAAGGAACAAACTGGAGGCCGAGCTGGTTTTTCTGCTTGTTCAGCTTTGAAGGGCTTCGGTTTGCAAAGCCAGCGAGGGATTCTCTCTCCAACAATAGACCTCCTGGATGGTTCTGAATCAGGCTTTTTTTGCTGCCCTGTAGGACTGCGGGACCATGGGAAAGCAGGCCTTCCTACTGACACAAACTCACATTCACACACACACAAACACACACCAACAGCTCCCCGCGACCTGCTGATCACTTACTAAATCTGAGTTATTTTTCTCATTCGCCACCTTTTGCAGAGTCGGGTGCGTTATTTGGAAGAAGCTGTAAATGTCCACTTGTCCACTGGCTCCAGTCCCGCTCACCGCCGAGGACTGGAGGTGTCTTTCTGTTCCCCAAACAGGAGTCGTCAGGGCTCTCGGTTCAGGCGGACGGTATTGTCCATTCCTTGGAGTTGCTAGGCAGCCAGGACGGCCAGAGGAATCTCAGAGGCTGGTTGTGCTCTGGCAGAGCTCCCCAACGGCACTGGGGAATGAGGCTAAATAACATCAGGACAGAAAGCTTCTGGGTTCTGTCTGTTTTTCTGATGGGAAGACGGGTGTTGACATGTGACATGTGCATCATCCATCTCCGGTTTATTTCCTCCTTACTCGTGCTTTGTTCATCGTATTCTCAGCCTTATTCAAAGCACTTGTTCTGAGTGTTGTCCTGTAGTTAGAGCTTCAACCAGTGATTATTCTGATTTAGAAAACTTTTAGAAAACAGCAAAGAACAGCTCATAACGGTGCCCTCGAGTGATCTTTTTTTCTTTAGGCAGCAGCACAAACCCTGAAATATCACGTTTACAATTAGTATTAAACACAGAACAGAAGTCTGTCAGTGTGTGTCTCGGCAGATTTAATTAATCTACGGAGCTCTAACTTTATTTGAAGCATCTGATGAAGTCTGACTGATCACGTTACGCAGTCTGTGTCTCACGCGAGCGAAGCAACGCTGCTCATCAGACCTTTCTCCTGAGATCTCTTGTGTGATGGTGCTGCTGATTTTACTGTAAACTGAACATGTGTCTCATATCGTGTAGATAAAATATGGTTCATGTAGTTTTAAATCACACTACGCTGCATGTGGTGCTTCAAAACATGGAGTTTTGTTTTGCCATAAAGGAGATGTGTTAACTGATTAGCAGCACAGATGTCATGAGGAAGAAACTGTCCACTTTAGGAGTCCTCAGTAGAAATCTGTTGGTTGTTGCTGCAGTGTGTGGAGGCTTTTTAAAAACCTTTTTCTGGGGAAAAGTCACCGAGTTTGACTGGTGATTCTGTACATGCTGTTTTTATTCAGGAGCTGGGTCTTGTAAACCTGAAAAACTGCTCGGATCGCTCCAGAGGGCCACATGTGCCTGTAGGGACTCTGTTTGCAGCATTCACCTGAATTTTCACAAAGAACCAAGCTTATTAGTGTCCCTCTGTACAGATCGTTGTGTTTTCAAACCCGTAGTTGTAGGTAAAACAGAAGACTAGACCTGAATGACTACTTAAGCTCCAGCTCTGCTCAGTCAGGACGCGCTCATGGTGGCTCAGATGTTGTAGTTTGAGCTCTAAAACATGAGAACTTCTGTGTTTGTACCGTTATCCTGTAATGGCCATGTATGTCACAGTGATGGACTTTTGTCTACATATCTTCCAGGTGAGAATGAGGTTCTGGAGTCTCTACAGAAGATTGCTTCCAAGAACAAAGTGTGGAGGTCCTACATCGGCATGGGCTACTACAACTGCTCCGTACCGCCTCCCATCCAGCGCAACCTCCTGGAGAATGCAGGCTGGTGAGTGACCAGCCCTCAGGGGAAACCTGATGGAAATGTGAAAGAGCTCAGAGCTGGTTTCTTGTCTGATGCCTCCTCAGATAACTGTTTAGTCAAGTTTGCAGCACTCATTTAACTTTAATGGCGGCGGTGCAGAGTAACGTGCCTCTGATTGGAAGCCTTGTGACTCTGGAGTTTATTAAAAGGCTCGTGAGAACAGACGATGTGCTTCTCTGCAGCTTTCTGCTGAACAAGATTTCTTTCACCCAAATCCAAATCAGCGAAGCCTGCCCACGTTTCCTCCGAACTGCCAGCGTCGGCGGAGGCCTTCAATGCATTCCACTGTCCCGTCCCGGCTCCTTGAATACCATCAACTTTGTGCTATTGTCCTCGTGTCCAGACCCGCTCTGTTGACTCATTGTGTCGGGTTTTGTCCTCAGGGTGACTCAGTACACGCCTTACCAGCCCGAGGTCTCCCAGGGTCGCCTGGAGTCTCTCCTCAACTACCAAACCATGATCTGTGATATTACCGGGATGCCTGTGGCCAACGCCTCCCTGCTCGACGAGGGAACGGCTGCTGCTGAGGCCATGCAGCTCTGCCACAGGTAATTACACGCTGGCTTGCTGTTGATCATTAACACAGGCTGCAGGGTGGAAAACAATGTTTGATACTTAAAAAAATCAAGTTTCTTTTTCCTTGTTAACACGTCCACATGGTGCCTTTTATATCGTGGGAGACATATATTGAGCAGTCGACACCTTAACGGAGCGTTTCTACTTTAAAACAGCAGTAACCATCTCTACAAACATGGATTTAGTCAACCAGGGTTTCATGGTGACCAGACCTAAGGCACCAGTCCTGTGACGTTGGGGATTCTAGGTTTCCATATTAACTCCAGAGTGACGTCTGTTTCATGGCATGAAGGGATTGTCTTAAAGGGAAGCTCTTCTAAATATGTGATTGTTATACATCTAAATGATCAGTGACTGGAGAGGGACTGTTCAGATCATATTTTTTACACTTTAGGGACAAATCACAAGTGGATACTAACAGATGCATTTATTTTAAATGTCTAACCTTCGTGCATGTAATCAGGAACAACCTGTTGACTGGAGATCTAACGTATGTTCCTGATGCTCCTGATTTAAAGTGTTCTCAGTGGATTCTGTTGTTTCTTCCTCACAGACAGAACAAAAGAAGAACCTTCTACATTGACCCGCGCTGCCACCCCCAGACCATCGCCGTGGTGCAAACCAGAGCCAAGTACGTATCATAAACACTCATCATTAACGAGCTTTCCTTTGAAAACGACAAACTGCTTATGTAATGAAATCAAGTGAGTGACCAAGAACGACTGCATCTTATTGTATGAAAACAGAAAACTGTTGTTTCTGAGGTGCCAGTGTCCTTCACATTCCTGTATTTGTGATGCACTAATTATCAAGCTTTGACTGTTGTGTTGCAGCTACATCGGGGTGAAGACGGAGCTGAAGCTGCCCCATGAGATGGACTTCAGTGGGAAAGACGTGAGCGGTGTGCTCTTCCAGTATCCAGACACTGACGGCAGGGTGGAGGACTTCACTGCCCTGGTGGACCGGGCTCACAAGGGAGGGGTGAGAGCTCTTCAGTCACGTTAATACAGCAGCTACAGGCCTGATAAGCATGTTTTAAGGCAACTAGTGACTGGAAATAAGTAACTATCTGGATAATTTGATCTTAAATACACGTTTATGTGATGTGCGACCCAACGAGATTTATCTCTCAGTGGAGTGGATCAGCTTTGATTTATTTTACTTTTGGTTGAGTAGTGCCTGTATCTGGTGTCTGAACCTTAATCTCAGTATGTATCTAGAAAACCGCTGGATGCCTCTTTGTAAAGCGGCTCCATGTAAAGTTTTACGCCGATGACACGGCTGTATATTTAGATGTAAAGACTGGCTTTGTGGAGGGGACTGGCAGGTTACAGTTGATCTTTTCATCACTGGTCCAGGCTGCGATGAATCACGGTTATGTTATAACTGCACAGTTGTACAGACTAGTTGGAAGAACTGTCTTTTTGTAATAAATGCAGCTGTTGACCAACCACATGGCTCATTCTGCTGCTGTTTCTGGCCCGTCCAGGCCCTGGCTTGCTGTGCCACCGACCTGCTGGCCCTCTGCGTGCTGCGACCGCCCGGAGAGTTTGGCGTCGACATCGCGCTGGGCAGCTCCCAGAGGTTTGGGGTTCCTCTTTGCTATGGCGGTCCGCACGCTGCCTTCTTCGCTGTCAGAGACAACCTGGTCCGGATGATGCCTGGCAGGATGGTTGGAGTCACCAGGTGGGAAACAAAACGCACACATCGAATCATACTTCAGAGTGAATATCATAACCGCAGCAGGTTGCTTGAGACGCTTTTAAAATGACCATTTCAGAGATGCCGCTGGTAAGGAGGTGTATCGTCTCGCTCTGCAGACCAGAGAGCAGCACATCCGCAGAGACAAAGCAACCAGCAACATCTGCACGGCACAGGTATGACCACGTTTCAAATTAATAAACATACAAAAAGCATGCACATCCATGTCTATGAGTGGAACAGCATAGCCTGCATACTGGTATAGATACTCCCAGGAGCCTTGTGGTGACATTATGAGCATAAACACAACAGAACACACAGAGACCTACAGAAACACCTGGGACGGGTTTCCAGACCGGTCGGATGATCTCGACAGACACATGACATAATGAGCTCAGCGTATTCACTGCGTACATGACAAAATACGATAAAAACATTCATAGAAAATCTGCAAAGCTTGATAGTTCCCATTTTGTTCTCCTAATAAAGTTTACAAATGAAAGAGAAGGATGTGAGTTCAGACTGTTAGAGGTTTTATTTCACTGATGAGCTGCCTTCAGTGTTCTTTTCTACATCTAATTATCTAACCTTTTCTACCACCTGTTGTTCAATAACTTTGTTCTCAGGCTCTGCTGGCCAACATGGCTGCTATGTACTCGCTGTATCACGGTCCTCAGGGACTCAAACACATCGCTGAGCGGACGCACAACGCCGCGCTCATCCTCGCTGAAGGTACATTTATAGTTTTTGTTTTTTGAGATGAGCAGTTTCTCTCCAAACAATCAATTCAAGATATTAAATATGATCTGTTTAAGATGTAAAAGGAAGAAATGATTGAAGAAATGTTGTTGTGAACTGATCTACGTCTTACACAGCGTAGGGAGTGACTGAATAAAGACTGGACAGAGCCCAACCCTAGCCCTCTAACCCTGCTACGTCACGCACAATGAGAGAAATTCAGAAGCCTCAACTTTGATTTAAACAAAAAATGAGTTTAAACTGTTCACGCTTTCTTCCAGGTCTGAAGAGAGCAGGACACCGGCTGCACAGCGACATGTTCTTCGACACGCTGAAGATCAACTGCAGCGTGGCCGCCAAAGACATCCTGGAGCGAGCCGTGCAAAGGGAGATAAACCTGCGAGTCTACACCGAGGGAGTGGTGAGATTTAACCCTTTGTTCTTTGAAAGCGTCGTACGGGTGATTTAGCAAGTCCTAAAGGGTCGCGGCCGCTGGAGAGGAACCCCTGTGGATCAGAAAACAATCGAGGGACAGAAGCTCCCGACTTCCAGGCAGAGCTTTGCCATTGTTGCAGCACTGCAGGGTGGAGCAGCAAATTAACACGACAACGTGCATCGTCACCTCTGAGCTGCAGGACTGTGACGCTATCAGGATCTGGAAATGTTCGACAATGAAAGTCTTTACCTCTGAACCACACAAGTCCTCAACTAGAGCTTTTCACACCAAAAGAAGAGATTTTGCCCCTTAGAGTGATGTCTGTAGCTCACAGAGGAGCTCATCTCAGAGTTAATCACATGGCTGACGCTTTAGCAAACGCTTACCTACAGCCTGTAGAGGAAAACGCTGCTTTAAATCTCTTGTAGGGCACCAATCATTATTTATTTGTTTAGTGTGTGAGTCGTTTTTTTAAATCAGGTTCGACTGGTGATTCTAGATGCAGTTTTTATGTTCCAGTGACCAATAAAATTGCAGTTATGGCTCTCTAAGCATGCATTCAGATAGGAGCTTAGACTGACATAACTGCTCAGGGGCGTTACCAGTATGGCTGCCAAGTGGCGAGACGTGGCCTTTAAAGACAATAGTTGTGCTGTGAACTGTAGCCTACAGATGGTTTCTGGGTAAAATGCCAACATACACTAAAATCACTGATATGCTCCTTTAGAAGCTCTTAAAGGAGAATTAAGGTTGAGAGTCATGAGAACCTTTATGTCGTTTTCAGCCCAAAACTGGAGGAGATGCTTTTTAAGAAGCTTTTGAAGGTGGCGGTAAACTTCCTTTTCCGTTTCTGGGGCTTGATGTTGGTTTGGAAAACGATTCACGTTCAGAGGCGCCAGTGACTGGATCAGATCTACGTTCCTATTATTAGTTATATTAGAGGTTACTCATTTCTAAACAGCGGTTCCTAACCTTCCTCCCTTCTGAGAATGAAACCATTGTGTGGAAAAGGCGACTGCATGATACCGTAGTCGGTGGTTTAAAACCTCCACCCACTGACATAAAGTCTCTGATAACATGAAGATGAAAGTTATAACGCCGAGCTCACTGAGACGGCTGCATGGAGGCAGCAGGTGTTCCAGCTGTGGCTGAATAGAGCTAAAACACATCTTCTTCAACTATAAGATGGGCTCTGTGCTTGTTGTTCAGATACACTAATGCAGAAAAAGTGTCCTCACAAAGGTAGATGGATGCAAACTGGAGAAGCTTCCACTGATAACTGAGCCAGTGAATGAATCAACACATGAATCAGTGGCATTCCTGTGGCGCTTGTTGCTGTAATGTTGCTGCAGGCATTGTCTGATTTCCAAGAAAATGCTGTGTGTGGATTCCACTTTGATGATCCCTGATAGTAACCCGCAGGTCTGCTTTTAGGAGATGAGTCTTTCTTAGAAAGTTGCGCCATGTTCCCAGGAAGTGCAACCGCTTCAGTCACCGACCCGGTCAGTTCTGTGCTCAGGACAGAGGAACTCATGGTTGCTCACTCGGTGGAACAAAAGAAACTTTCAATTGTCCTCCAGAGAAAAGGAAAGCGACAACATTTGGTGGTGAACGTGGTGAACCTTTGGCTCTGGTGTTGGGCTGATGGGTTCGACCCTTCAGTAGGGAGCAGTCTCATTCACCTTGTTGTATTTTATCATGTGTTGCACTCATTGCTTCTTTTCACACAGTTGGGCGTCTCTCTGGACGAGACGGTGACGGAGCGAGACTTGGACGACCTGCTGTGGGTGTTTGGCTGCGAGTCCTCAGCTGTACGTTCATGCTCACACTTCTCTTTAGAGTCTTCGTACTTTTCCCCGTTGTGTTGTAAACACTGAGGTTGCACATATCCAAGGAGCACGAAGGTAAAGCACCTCTTGGTTTTATTTCCAGGAGCTGATCGCTGAGAAGATGGGCGAGCGGGTGAAGGGGATCATGGGAAGTCCTTTCAAGAGGACAAGCAAGTACCTCACGCACCAGGTTTTCAACAGGTCGGTTCTCAGCTTACTTACATCATCATAACACAGAGTTAGAAGTCAAATAATGTATATTTATTATAGTTCCGATTCCGATTGTTAGTGTTTAAAGAGACCGATGTACGGAAAGGAAACGCTGGTGTCAGAATTTAGAATATTACAGATTTGAACACAAAACTTCACTGAAATGCTTTTTTGTTTTTTACATGTTTAATAAAAAGTTTACTTTACCAATAACATGATAACTTATTACGTTACCGGTTCAGGACTTTATGTTATTGGCCTTTTATTACATTCTTGGCTTCTACAGCATCGTTGACTTTCGCTGGATGTTGACATCAGAAGCTGGTTTTCCTTCCTGGTATCAACCACAGCTGAACTACTGATGCTAAAGTTCTTCTGTTACATCCACTATCACTGCGTTACATAACAGACAAAGATGCTGCGTTCAGATTGTTTCATCTGATAGGAGACCCTGCTGCACTTACTCCTGCTGATAAATCAGGGTTCTTTGTTTTTTCCGATGGTCGAAATAAAGCAAACATGCTGCTGATGGTGATCTTTGTAGCCACAGGCAGGTCTAAAGAATGAGTTGCTTCTAAAAAAAAGAGTAAACTCTCAGTGTGTTTGTTTTAACAGTATTAATGCTGCTGCAGGCACCTGTGTGAACAGTGGTACATGCTATCTAAAAACACATAACACACTATCTGTCTATATTAGTGCCATAAAGGCTGCTTGGTATCAGGACTTCCTACGTCCAAGTCCTCCGTCTATTCTTTGACCTAGTATTGATTAAGATGCTGACTCAGCTTGAAGCACTTTGAAGCTTCACAGTGAAAGTTTGAAGCTGTCATTCAGATGCATGTCATTGATTTGTGTCACAGAATAGTCGAGCCTTATTGTCTGGTTGATCTTTTCCTTCAGCTACCACTCTGAGACCAACATCGTGCGATACATGAAGCGTCTGGAGAACAAGGACATCTCGCTGGTGCACAGCATGATACCTCTGGTTAGTCCAGATGTTCAGGTGTACAAGCAAACACATGTCGTATTGTGCCGTATGCTGGACTAAAGTGTCGTGTTCCTCCTCAGGGCTCCTGCACCATGAAGCTGAACAGCTCGTCGGAGCTCATGGTGAGTAAATCTGTAAAAAGAGGAAGTTGTATGTGTAAATGAAATCCTCATCACAAGCACCACCTGCCTGGTTGTTCAAGTCGCCATGGAGACAGTTCAGTTGTGGTTCAGTGCTATGAAACCATCTCCGCACAGAATTACTTGTGAACCTGCTGTTTCCCTCCAAGTTAACCTTTCTGCCTTCCCCGTCTCCCTGCCGTCGCCGTCTGCAGCCCATCACCTGGAGGGAGTTTGCCAACATCCACCCCTTCGTGCCTCTGGATCAGGCTGAGGGCTACCAGAAGCTGTTCAGGCAGCTGGAGAAGGACCTCTGTGAGGTGACGGGCTACGACAAGATCTCCTTCCAGCCCAACAGGTGAGAGCACAAGCCTCTTCTTTAAGGGTGTAAATAAAGTGCTTGTAATGATGTGATGGAGTCATTCGTAGGTATCAGGGCCGATACCAATCAGCACATTTTAGTAATCAAGATATTGGGAAGCAATACACATTTGCAAGTTAAAATCTCACTGACAAAATGTAGAATGGCACAACTTCCAGTGCAAAACTGAATTGAAATTCATTGATTATATGCATTAGCATTTAAGTGAAAACGCTGCTGTGCCTCCATGTGCGTCCTCACAGAGCCACTAATGTTCAGTCTGAACTTGTTTCCTTTTCCAGTCGGTTTAAAAGAAGCTATGAAACAACCAAACATCTCTATTTAACACATTTAAGACCTTTTCATTAAAACATGAGCTGCAGGTGTCTCGGTGGTTAGCACCATTAGCGCCTCACAGCTAGAAGGTCACCGGTTCACGTCCCGGTGAGGACACCCGGGATCTTCCTGCGTGGAGTCTCCATGTTCTCCCCGTGCAGCGTGGGTTCTCTCCGGGTTCTCCGGCTTCCTCCCACAGTCCAGAAACATGCTGAGGTTAATTGGTGATTGTAAATTGTCCGTAGGTGTGAATGTGAGTGTGCTTGGTTGTCTGTCTCTAAGTGTAGCCCTGTGATAGACTGGTTACCTGTCCAGGTGAACCTGCCTTCACCCTGAGTCAGCTGGGATAGGCTCCGCCCCCCATGACCCTGGTGAGGATTAAGGTGGAGATGATGGATGGATGGATGGAATAAAATATAAGAATAACTTCATCAAAGTAATGATTTCTAAATGTGTGGCCTTCAATCAGCAGTTCTAATCGTTAATATCTTATTTCATTATAAAGCCTGATGTACAGATCATTATATGATCAGGAAGTGATTGATTACACATAAATGCTCAGCTTGACGACTGGTTGAGGGACGAAAACTGGAAGTACAACTGGGTTCAGATGTTCAGTATCTAGTTGAGAACTCCATGCTTCCAGCTGATAAAGCACACCCTCCTCCGCCGTCTATCTTATCAGCAGCGGCGGGTTCATGAGTAGCTCGCTACTACGTTGGCCAACAGAGTTATCATGCAGTCAGCTTTCCATCCCGTCTTTCTCGCCTCTTTTGGTAATGTCTGCAGGCTGCTCTTTGGACTTTGCTGAGGTAAAGATGTGTGTCTCAGATACATGATCACGGTGCCTTTTTTCTTTCTCCAGTGGCGCTCAGGGAGAATACGCCGGCCTGGCTGCCATAAAGGCCTTCCTGAACTCCAAGGGAGAGAGCTCAAGAAGTGTAAGTGTCCCCGTGCAGAGGAACGAGTGTTGCACCAAACATGAGGGTGAATTAACGGATGGTCATCAGGTTTGATAGCGCTTTAGGCTTCTACGTGTTTCATTTAAGCTTCAGACTATCTGACAACAAGGCTGCTAGTCACAGCCAGTGTCGTACAAGAGTTTAGAGAAAGATATACTGAAAGGATCAGTTTGGATTGAGGAGTGGTGATAAGACCACATCTGTGCTTCACACGAAGTCACATCCAGCAGACTGGAGCGTTTGCATCGCAGACAAACTAAAACAAATCTGTACAAGACTAAAGTGTAGAAGTCCTCCTTCTCCAGAAGCCACTTGTTAAACAGTAAGAACCACCGTAGTGTCCCCATGTTCCCGTTTAAACACTACAGCGGGTTTTCTTCTCTCTCAAACCCGCCGGCAGCTTTTGGAGTTCAGAGAGTTCGCTGTCCCGCTGATGTGACTCGGTCCATTCAGCGGTATCGTTACGTCCCAGTGCATCGACTGGGTCAGCATTTTATTTTCCAATGAAACTCATTCGTTCATGTGTTTAGAATCCACACTGCAGACTCAGTTTTATTGTTTCTGTTGCTGCAAAGATTTAAATGACAGAAATTAGATTAGATTCAACTTTATTGTAGTTACACATGAACAAGTACGAGGCAACGAAATGCAGTTACAAGTGCAACAGCGCAGAGAATGAAGTGCAGATATATTGTTAAATATCTCTCTATCTATCTATCTATAGATAGATGGATAGATAGATAAACTAGTGTGTTTACATGAATATATGGCATGGTGTATATTTACAAATGGATCTGAGCAAATCATATCTTTTTGGACCGTGGACATTAAAAACACTGGCACACAGTTACAGCGCAACGTATAATTAGTGCAGATGTTGGGTTGGTGACGACCAAAACCTAAAACCAAACTGGACAGAATGACTTCAGGTCATGTTGTCTGATCTTTAGAGGCATTTGAGGTCGTTAACTGTCAGTGTTGTTAATATTAATTACTATATACTTTAAAACAAAGGGTATCGTTTACTAGAAAAGCTTTTGGGGTGAAACTAATGGATGGTTTACTGCAGGACTGAGTTCTGAGGTTCTGTTCTGGGGGGTTTGCTGGCTGCAGGTTAGCCGTCTCTGTGCTCAGACAATCTAATCACCTGCTGGCTTCACATTGAATGCACAGACAGGACAGAGGCGTCTAGTGTCTCGTCTAACTCGCAGCGAACACTTTTACCTTCTTCATTATTTTTATTCCACTTTGCTGAATGAGAGATTCAAAGGAACTAATTCACGTGAACCTGAAGCTCTTGAAAAACTAAAATAGTTCAGAAACCTAACAGAAACTAAAACTTCTAACTAATTAAGTGCCTCTAAAAGCAATGATTTTGCTCCTTCCACATGTGTGCTCTGTTGTTATCACATGTAGAGATGATTTATCAGCGTCTCTGACTGTCGCTGACTCACAGAGGTTAATAGAGAGCATCAGTACGTGGGTCACTCAGTGTAGAGCCTATCAGCCTGAGTTCCTGACCACTGGTTTATTGTTCACAAGCTGCAAGAGGTCACTCTGACATCACAGGTTAATGTGTTGTAGGCCTCCTTGTGAGGAATTCCTTCAGTATCCCGGCGTGCTGATTGGCAGCAGCTCGAGGACGAGCCCAGATAAGACAACCCCTCAGATTAAAGAGCGGCTGACTCAACTGCTTTTTTTTCTCGTGCTGTAAATTGGCCTTTGTTTTTTAATAGCTTTCTCATAAGCACATCTTAGATAGCGCCCTGATCCCTGGAAACAGTCAAGGTCCAAGCGTTTGTGCAAACAGAGGGGCTGAAAACGCTGCGATCCAACTGCAGGCTGCCTGCTTCCAAGACTCCATATTAGGAGGTTTAAGACTTTGGGAGAACAGTCCAGCGTTGCCCAACCTGCAGGTCTTTGTGCCCCGGTTTGCCTGCGTGACTCAGTTCTGTGTGTGTGTCACCCTAATAAGGGATAAAATCAATTAGTGGCCTGCTGGCAGGTTACACATTAGTACCAGAGGTGGGTGTTGGTCGGATCAAAATTCAACCAGACAGAGCTGCAGCAGCGTTTCCTGGTTCTGACTAAACCCCTCTGAAGCTCTGCTCTTTTCATGTTAGAAAGAAAACGTCTTTTTAATCAATGATCTTTTTATTGAGTTTTCAATCAAGAGAATCAACGGTGTAAAGGTTTCCTCTGTGCGCTACACAGCAGGACAAAGTAAGAAGCAGCAGTGAGCACCAAGTCTGTGCAGAACGTTTGTACAGCGACAACCCAGAAGTGAAAAAGACAAACAAACAAAAAAACAAACCACAAGATAAATCATGAATCAATCTGCAGAACATTCCCAGAAAAAACCAACATAATCAGAGTAACGAAAGAAAATCTGTTAAACGTGTATTCTGTAGAGTTACAACCTATTTATGAACTGTGGAGGCCAAGCTGTCGTCTGCCTGCTTTTATTTTGAAATTGAAAATCGTTTTTCTGTCAAATGTCACTGAAAGCCTTTATTAAAGTCTCCTTCAAGTTCAAAGCAGGATTTTTAAATTCAAGGTTGCTCGAGGAGATGAATCCTCCTGATATTCACCTTGTAGTTAAAAGCCTGTTGATCCACACGTCCTCTGGGAACTCCCCACAGATCCTGTGGGTTCAACCAGCATCCTGCCGTCACATGTGGACGCTCTGTTTCATGTTTCTTGCATCACCTGCAGTCAAAACCTTTTCTCTTTAATAATATATATTTATATCTCAGAATTAGCCTCGAGGCTACAATAAGCCCCAATCTGCTGATATGTCTTCACTCGTATCTCACTGATGTAATTATTGCGCCCCACAGGTCTGTCTAATCCCTAAATCGGCCCACGGCACCAACCCAGCCAGCGCTCAGATGGCGGGCATGAAGGTTCAGGTGGTGGAAGTGGACAAAGACGGAAACATCGACCTGGCGCACCTCAAGGCCCTGGTGAGAGCTGAAGCAGCTTCGTCACGTCGTACTGCTCATGTTGTTCTCTGACGTCTTACTTTATGCTTTACGTTTGGGGATTTGGAAGACGACGACATTTTGTAGACGCTCTAGAGTTTGTGGTGTTTTTGGAACTTGACCTTAAAAGTCAAAATATCACGACCACAATTCTAAAACATCTGTTCTTCTCCAGTCTCTCAGATTCACTGTAGCGGTGCTCAGCTGCCGGCAGTTTATGAATGTGGATTTTTAAGTTTTATTTTATTTCTTTAACCAGCAGGAGTCACCTGTTGTACTTGTTCTTACAGGTGAAGACAAACTTCTAAATCTGTGTATTCTGTAGTGTTGTCTGCAGATCATTCTGATTGTTTTTCCTTCAGCGAAGCATCTGAATGTCTGCTCTCTGGTCTTTTAATGTCAGCAGCAGGTTAACCAGCATGTGTACAATTATTATTATTATATATTCATAAAAACACCGCTGCAGGTTTGAATTAACATAAAACTAATCCCCCAGTCGTGAGATCAAGAGCTGCTGATGTGACTGGTCTTCATCCCTGATGATCTTCATCCTAATCCCAACTCCTACATCCACTGATCCCTTCCTTCCTTCCAGGTGGACAAACACAAGGCGAGCCTGGCGGCCATGATGATCACCTACCCCTCCACATTCGGTGTGTTTGAGGAGCGGATCAGAGACGTGTGCGAGCTCATCCACGACAACGGAGGCCAGGTGTACCTGGACGGAGCCAACATGAACGCCCAGGTGAGAGGAAGAGCGCCGTCACAAAAATCAGACGGCTGCAGACTGATGGGATAAAGGTTTCTAGATGTGCTGTAAATAGATAACCTTCAGATAACCTGCCTCCACCAATCCCTGACAGGCTGACGGTCCCTGCCCCCGCTGACTTATGAGACGTTAACTTCCTCTTTTACTGGTGCTGTCAAGTCATGTGACTGTTAATAACAAATCAAATCAGGGAGAAGATCGCTTTAGGAATTCAAATCATTTTCAGTGAGATTCCTCAAGATTTCAGTTTCTGTGTCACTGCTTTCATGCATTTAATCCGTAAATAACGCAGTAATTTAAAGGGTTTTAATGCAGAACCCAGCTGCTGTAATTGGATAAATGATTAAAACACCACAGGGAAATGCTCTAAAATTGGTACTAAGACTAATAGTCAGTTTTTTTTTCTGCTTTTGAATTGACTGAGCGTCCTGCAGTGGAGGGAAAGACGGCAACTGTGACGTAAATGCAGAGGTTACCAGTTTCCTCTTCAGTCCGATTCTGCCTGTCCTACGAGAACAGCAGCGTACCAACAGCTGTGCATAATAAACAGAGACGACAAAAGAAAACAGCAGCTATAAGCCCTGAGAAATGTCTAATAAATGCATAAACACATCATATAAATATGGAAAAAGCAAAGTGCTAAAGTCACAGAAAAACTTCCTTTTTAAAGTTTCGCTCTTTGCTCTGTTTTCCAGGTGGGTTTGTGTCGTCCTGGAGATTACGGCTCCGACGTGTCTCACCTGAACCTGCACAAAACCTTCTGCATCCCCCACGGTGGAGGAGGACCCGGCATGGGGCCCATCGGAGTGTAAGTCAGAGTATGAGGTTTCAAACGTGAGGTTCTGCATGTGTGCATCCAAACATTTGTGTTTGAGACTGAAGCTCAGGTGACGTCTGACTCTAGCCGAGTCGTCTCTGCGTACGCATGTCGGAGCTGTACGGCAGGAGAAAGATTACAAACACTGGCTGTTAATCTTTCACTGTTCATATATGTGAAATGGTCTCTCCATGAGCAACCTCTGAACCTGTCTCCTCCTCATCAGGAAGGCCCACCTCGCCCCCTTCCTGCCCAGCCACCCGGTGGTTCCCATGCAGTCGGTCAACAGCAGCAGCTCGCTGGGCACCATCAGCGCCGCGCCCTGGGGCTCCAGCGCCATCCTGCCCATCTCCTGGGCGTACATTAAGGTCAGCACGAGTCGCTGTGGCGCTCGGAATCAGAATAGTTCTCAAAAAACTCCAGAAATATTATCATATGAAGAACAATCCTGAAGAAAAAGGACATTGACTGATTTGTGGGAAACCAGCTCGTTAAGTGTGCGATTAGAAAGTTAGCTGAAGTTGTAAAAATGGTTCAAAGCTTTCAGTCGTACAAACCTTCCTGTAGTTTGACAGATGAGCTGTTAAAGTCCCTGAACATCACAAGAGCTTCATGCCAGAGTCACATGAGCTGAGATATGAATTTGAGATAAACTGTGTGTGAAGGAGGTCAGGATGTTCCTCTAAGTAGGTGGTAAGAGTGAATGAGCTGGTTAATGAGTGACGCTTCAGGCTGTCTGTCAGGGACAATGTGAACAGTTTAGAAACTGCAGCTCCTGGTTTGACCAGTGAAAATACTGTCATTCCTCTTCAGATGATGGGATCCAAAGGGCTGGTTCACGCTACAGAGGTGGCCATCCTCAACGCCAACTACATGGCCAAGAGGCTGGAAGGTCACTACAAGGTCCTGTTCAGAGGCAGGAAAGGTAAAGTGTTGTTTCTACCGGTACATGTTGATGTGCTCTAGATTTAAAGGGATGGAATTAATCTTTCAATACGTAAAATATAAAGAGCCTTTGTCTTGTGTTGGTGTGAGCAGGTTTCGTAGCCCACGAGTTCATCCTGGACGTGAGGCCGTTCAAGAAGACGGCCAACATCGAGGCCGTGGACGTGGCCAAGAGGCTGCAGGATTACGGTAGGCTGAGCTAAAGCGGTGCTGAAGCTGGACTCTTATGATGAACTTTATTCCCACGTCATTAGAAAATGTTCAGATCTGAGTGCATTTATTTATTTGTGTCGGTGTCCAGGCTTCCACGCCCCCACCATGTCGTGGCCGGTGGCCGGCACCCTCATGATCGAGCCCACGGAGTCGGAGGACAAAGCGGAGATGGATCGGTTCTGCGACGCCCTGCTGGGCATCCGACAGGAGATCGCAGACATCGAGGAGGGAAGGATGGACTCCCGCATCAACCCACTCAAGGTACGCTGCTGGCTGGATTTGACTCTTTGTTTGAGGTGTAAAGCTGTGTGACAGTGACTGATGTATAAATGTGTCTGTGTGCAGATGTCTCCTCACTCTCTGGCCTGCATCTCCTCCTCCAACTGGGACAGACCCTACTCCAGAGAGCACGCTGCTTTCCCCTTGGTGAGTGTCCTCCTCACTGTCTGCAGAGCCCAGAGGAAATCTGTCTGTCTGTGTCGCCCTCTTGTGGCGAAAAGCAAAAAGTGCAGCAAGATCCCACAACCACTAATAACGAGCATCTTTATAGAACAAGTCCTCCAACCTGGAAGGACTCCTCACTTCTCACTGTAGAGACCCAGACGTCTGAGCTGCTGAAGGCTGACGGTGGTCTCATTGGATCAGTGTGTGACTCTCGGTGTGATAATCTGGGATCTCAGAACTGCATTTTAAGTGGCTGATAGGTGGCGCTGTGGACCCCCTCCTCTGTTAGTGGTCGACATAGATGACTTCTTTAACAATCCGTCCTCTAATGAGTGTGTGTTGCTGAGCTTGAGCTGCTCAGAGATGTTGGTGTTTGTTGAGCAGATTCCTGAGTTTTTCAGATTCTTCTGCAACATGAGCATCGTTCTCCTCTGCAGACTCTCCTACTGATCATGCTGAGGATTTACTGAGGACTACTTTAGCTCATATTAAGTTCTGCGTTCCCTTGGTTTACATTCCTTTTGATCCGTAGAATCGGTTGGTGTGTTGGTCCAGTCTGATTCTGAGACTCTGTCTATTCAGGGAAACACTCTGCAGACGTTACAGAGATGAGAGATGAGGGGACACCAGCGTTTATTGCAGAAGGTCCAGCTGCTCCGCCTGCCTGTGATGGTCAATATTTGGATGTGATTATTTTGCTGTGGTTCTGTCTTTCGGGCTCTGGGTTTGTCCAGCTGTTGTCATTTTAACCTGCGAGGAGTTCAGGACTACAGCAGCTTCAACACAACCAGCGGGGCTTCAAGCAGGAACAGCTGGACAAATCCACACCACCACAGACTGAACCACATCAGCAGCCAAAGTCCAAACGACGATGATGAACCCATCCACGATGCTGCCATCCCAGCCAGGCTCACAACCACAGTGTGGATGCTGGCAGTCTTTAGGAAGGTCTACTGAGCAACACATGCAAACCTCCTTCCTGTAAGATCTTGAGAGCATTTCCCTGAACAGGCCGAGTGTTGGAACTGGACCGGACCAGCACACCAGCTGTTCGTGTGGATCAGAAGAAATATGAAGCTCAAAGTGAGGGAACGTAAATTTAAAAATCCACGACTCTTGCAGGGCCCTGTACTTCTCAGTTCTGAAGTGTTGTCTGCTGTGTTTTCGCTCCTCGTCCTCTGTCCTCGTGGGAACTCTGAGCCCAGTGATGTCGGTTCTGGAGCCACTGGGTGGTCAGAATCAAACAGAAAATACTGATGCATGTGGGGGTTTTCTGTTAA